CAGGCACTAAGTACTACAGTGAGCTCATGTAGGGCATGGGGAGACCACATTCCTTCTCCCTTTGATGCTACTGTCTTCCCCCTGAAATTATCTCCCCTTTATCCTGTATATTTCGTATTTGTAACTGTCAATTACATGTTGTCTCTCTGTTAGACTGTGAGCTAGTTGAGGGCAGGGATGGTTTTGAGGGCAAGAGTGGATAGAGTCTAGGAGTTGGAGTCAGGAAGACCTGAGTTCAAATCCTTCCTCAGACACCAGCTATGGGCAAGTCACTTAACCTCTGTTTGTCTCAGGTCCCTCATCTATAAAACAGAGATAACAGTGCCTACTACCTAGCTTGTTGTGAAGATAAAATGAGATAGCATTTGATAAATGAGGCAATGCTTTGCAAACCTTCAAGTATTATATAAATGCTAACTATTACCATTATGTTTGCCTTTCTTTATATTCTCAGAACTTAGCACAATGCCTGGCACATAGTAAGCAGCTAGGTGGCACAGTAGATAGAGTGTTAAGCTTAGAGTCAGGAAGATGCCTCTTCCCAAATCTGACTTCAGACACTGACTAGCTGTGTGACCTTGGACAAGTCACTTAATTCTGTTTGCCTCAGTTTCTTCATCTGTAAAATAAACTGGAGAAAGAAATGGCAAACCACTTCAGTATCTTTGCCAAGAATACTCCAAAGGGGGTCATGAAGAGTCGGATATGACTGAAAAATGACTAAAAACACTAAATACTTGTTGACTTTGAATCAGAGAACACTTTATCATTCTGTTAGTTCTCAGCAAAGTTTCAGTAATTGTGGCCAAGTAAGGGACAAGATGGAAGGAGCTCTTAAATCCCACTTGCCACTTGACCAGGAGCCCTTGATTCAACTGCATCCGAGCTGAGGGCTCTGGGCTTGCTTTCATTTTCAAGGTTGTAAATGCCTTTAATTGATAAACTGAGTGAGTAGGAAAACAATGGAAAGGGAAAGGAGATTGGGATCCTAGTACAGAAATCAAGAGGATTTTGAGTTGTTTGGGCTGTTTATTCATTATCTTAGGGTTTAGACACAGTGCCCAGGGACAGTGGGGAGGCTAGTACTTTCTGTGAACGCACAGCATGTGGTGGGTGAGCTGGTAGTGGCGGGTGAGCTGGTGGCGCTGGATTGGGTCCCCTCTAACCCTTGTGCAAGCCCCATGGAACGAGGCAGTTTGAGTTTTGAGTGACACCTGGCGGCTTCCACAGATATAGCATCCTGAGCCACAATGTGGACTTTGAGAGTTGGAAGGGGCTTCATTGGTGTCTGGTTCAACCCATACCCAAAAGGAAACCTCACTATTGCATACTGGACAAGTAGTAGTAGTAACTTTACCTCCGCTTGAAGACCTTCAAGGAGAGGGAGCCCATCAGCTCTTTGAGGCAGCCCCTCCCACTTTGGGACAGTTCTATCATTAGGAAGTGTTTTCTAAATCCAGGCCTAACTTGGCATTTTTTCATTTTTGAAGCCAGATTTCATATCCCCCAGTAAGCCTTTTCTTTTCCAGGAAAAACATACCCTGTCCCTTCAACCAATCCTCATATGACATACACTCAGGGCTCTTCACTCTCCTGGCTTCCTCCTCTGGCTACTCTGCACCTTGTAATAACTTTGATTCATGTCTTTAAAAAAAAACAACCTTGCACACAGTAATAACAACATTATGTGATGATCCACTATGATAGACTTAGCTCTTCTCAGCAATACAATGATCTAAGATAATTCCAAAAGACTCATAGTAGAAAATGCTATCCACATCCAGAGAAAGAACTGTGGAATGTGAATGCAAATGGAAGCATACTATTTGCTCTCTTTTTTTCTTTCTCCTGGTTTTTCCCTTTTGTTCTGATTCTTCTTTCACATCATGACTAATGTGAAAATATGTTAATATGATTGTAAAAAAAAGAGATATAAACCATTAAAAAAACCAACCAAGATAATTTCCCAATATAGTTTCCCTTTTAATCCTCCCCTGTACTAAAGAAAAACTTGCCCAAAACCCAAATCAGCAGAGTGACCACATGCTACAGTCTGTGTAATATTCTGTCCCCATATTCCCCAACCTCTCCACCAAGATGAAGGATGTTCCACCAGGGAAGGATGTTTCCTTTTCTTCGATCTGGAATCAATGAGTCGCCAAGGCTGGCTTCCCTTTGGTGATGCTGTTATTTACATTGTTGCAGTCACTGTGTATATTGTCCTGGTTCTGTTGACTTTACTCTGCATCAGTTTATACAAGCTTCCCAGGTTTCTCTGAATTCCTCATATTTGTCATTTCATATAGTTCAGTGATACTCTATTGTGGTCAGAAACCACAATTTTCTTAGCTGTTCCTCAGTATTGGGCAGACACATTGTTTCCAGTTTTTTGCAACTACAAAATGTTATTATTATTATTCAAGTTATATTATTAAAGTTATGTTATTATTATGAAGAGTGTTATTATAATTAATATTTTGACACTGATCACATCAACTATTTGGGGGTATATGCAGAGTCAAGGGATGGCTGGGTTGAAGGTCTGAAGAATATAGTGACAGTGACTATTTGTGCCTAATTCCAAAGTGTTTTCCAGTACCTGTATCTCCACAGGCCACCTCCCAGTACTAACTATTGCTATTAGTGATCATTTTTGCCAATTTAAGGGATGTGGGGTAAAACTTCAGAATTGTTAAAGTGGCATTTCCCTTATTACTAATGATTTTAAGTACTTTTCACATGGCTACTGATAGTTTGCTTTCTTCTTTTGATAATTTTCCATTCATATCTCTTGTCTACTAATTTATTAGAGAGTGGCTCTTAGTCATATATATTTGTGTCAATTCTCTGTATATCTTGGATAGTTGGATTTTATCAGAAGGATCTGATGTGAAGACTTTTTCCTGTCAACAGTTACATTGGTTTTGTTTGGGCAAAAGCTTTAAAATTTTATGTAATTAAAATTGTCTATTTTATCTTCTCTAAGTTTATCTCTATCCCTTGTTATGAGTTTTCTGTCTTACCATAATGGTGAAAAACCCCCCTCTTTGTTTTACTGTAATGTTTTAAGGACATAATCTTTTATACCATGTATATGGTGTGAGATGCTGTTCTAACCTATTTTCTGCCAAATTGGTTTCTAGTTTTCCCGGAAGTCTTTGTTGGAAAGGGAGTTCTTTCTTCAGTAGTTTAGGCTCTTGGGCTCAAACACTGGGCTACAGTTGTATATGGCTTCTTCTGAGTTGTTTTTTTTTTTTTTGTCCAGTATATTTCACAAATCTAGCTTTCTATTTTTTACTAGTACCAAATAGTCTTGGTGATTAGTGCTTTATATTTTGAGATATGGTCATGCCATGGCTCCTTCATTCCTGCTCTTTTCTTCCTAATCTTTCTCTTGAGACTGTAGACTTTTTGTGATCAACTTACTAAAAATAATTTTTAAAGTTATTCAGTAATGTTCCATAAAATGGTTCTTTGGTAATGTGATTGGGATAGCAGTAAATTTGGAAATGAATTTAGGTTCCCCATACCTTTAAACTATTCCACAAACATTTACTGATACTTGCAGAATTCTGAGCTAGGCACCAAATGGGACAGAAGTAAGACTTGGATATGACTAGAGCCCTGTAAGGTACAAAGCATTTTCCTTTCTCCCCTTGAGGTTTTTGGACATTCTTCTCTTCTGGTCCTCCTCCTACCTATCTGATTATTCCTTCTCTGTCTCCTTTGCTGAATCCCCATCCAGGTCTCATCCACTAACCAAGAATGCCTTCCAGGGCTCTGTCCTAGGCCCTCTTCTCTTCTTCCTCTAGACTATTTCACTTGGTGACCCATCAGCTCCCGTGGATTCTTTATCATCTCTGTGCTGATGATTCTCAAATCTAGCCCAGCTTCTCTCCAACTTTTGAGACTGCCTTCAAGTGCCTTCTACATCTGGAACTGGGTAAGACACACACATAGCCTCTAGGTGAACAGATACGGATCCTGTCGTAAGGATGTGAAAGAAGCTTCCCAGAGCCGCTAAGACTCAAGTTGGTGCTTCCTTCTTCGATGAGGGTATTGTTTGCAGATATTAATAGAGGTTGATTGCATACATTAAGTGTTAAGTCTAATGAGTTCCCTTGCACAAGTTAGCTTATATCTAGGTAAATAGATTCTAAGTATGCACATGTAGGCTAGGTAAAAGGCCCTGGATAGAACACTGGCTGGACCTGAGTTGGAATCTTGCTTCAAACATTTAGTAGCTGTGTGACCCTAGGAAAGACACTTACTTCACCCATCTCAAGCCTCAATTTCTTCATCTATAAAATGGGCATAATGATAGCAGTTATTCTTATAATAATAAGAACCTCTCAATAAATATAAGTATATAAAACACTTCACAAAGATTAAGGTGCTTCAGGAATGTTGGCTTTTAGTATGCTTCCCTTTTTTACTCCCACCTCTTAAGAACCTGGGGGAAAGAGGATGAGCTCCACTTCAGAAATGCCCTATTTGAGGAGGCAGTGACCTCACACTAGAGAGGACCAGGGAGTATCAGGGTGGGGGTGGGAAACTACTGTTCAGGAGCTATAAACTTCCAGGAGTTTGTAGATGAAAAGAGACTGGGGGTGGGATAGGGGGTGTGTGGACCCTTCAGCCAAAAAGGGAAACAAGATCTCCTTGCAGAGGAAAAGATGAAACTGGAAGGGACTTCAAATGTCATTGAACGCAAGGAGGAAACTGAGACCCGGACAGGGGCCAGTGGCGGCTCAAGGTCATACAAGGCCTAGAGTTAGGATTTGAATCTGGGTCCCTGGTTGACAGCTAGAGCTACGGTGGAGAGTAATATAGAGGCTGTGGAGTGGCCTCACCGGGAGGGAGGCGCCGGGCTCCAGCCCCAGGATGGAGCTTTCGATCTTATCTGCATATTCACAATGCTTTGCAGCCGCAATGGAAACTCGCCTTGACTTTACCCGGGGTGCTATCTCCAGGGCCGGTGGCTGTTGAGTCACAGCTGCATGCTCTGGTTTCACTTCAAATCGAACAAATCTTTCGCCTTTTACTAAAGATTTCCGTGGAGAGAAACCATCAAGAGTTGTTTGACAATTTTTAGAAACCTTGCTAAGGCAAGGTTATTATCTGCGTTTAAAAAAACAGCCTTGTTTCACTTTTTTTAGAGAGTATAAGTTTCGATTCCCATTTTCCCCATTTTCGATTCTTAACATAAACGCTTATATTTTTTAGAAAAAGTGAGCTGGAACCTTGGACTGCTGGTCAGGCATTTCCTTTCTTCTTCTGTTTATGTGGTTTCTCTTTCTTGTTTCTGCCCATGGGTCTTTTGATTACGAATCCTGAGTCCTTTTCGCCGATCCATGCTGTTTCTAGTTCATTTTCCTTTCTTCTTGTAACTACAGCGAATTTTCTTCTTGCCTCTAGTCTTCCCCGTCGCCCCCCAAATACAACCTTCATGCAGTTTAAGAAATAATCATCATAAAGCCCAGGTTCTGACCATATCATTGCCGTTTGAAAATCTTCAGCGGCTCCCACTGCCTCTAGAATCGCAAATTGCTCAGCCGAGAACTGTAACTCTTTCGGTCTGACTTACACCAATCTTCCGTCTTATTTCAGATCCTCCGCACACTCTTCAATCTACAGCCTGTCACCTAAACGTATTCTCTCCTCACCAGTGTCTTTGCAAATTCCTCGCTTGCTAGATTCTTTCAAAGCACAACTCCACCCACATGATAAATCCTTTCCGGATCCTCCCGGCAATTAGTACTTCCTCTTGAAACAACAGCCTTTAGGTGTGGAGCTGCTCGGATGGCTGGAACCCAAGGACGTTCATTGGCGGGTCCACAGGAACTTAATAGAAGGTCATCTCAGAGATCTGGGTTTAGCCCTGTCCTGCTTCACATTTTTTATCCATGACTTGGATAAAGGCATCAGATTTGCAGATGACCCAACACTTGGGAGAGGTACCTAACAAGCTAGATGAAAGTCAAAGTTCTACAAGCTCTTGCCAGGACTCTCACCTCCCCATTCCTGGAAGCCTGACTTCTCTTAAAGTAATCCAAGATGACCTAATAGCATTTTGGTGTCCATATGCTGCTGTTGATTTCTCTGAAGCTTGCAGTCCATTGAAACCCCCAGATCTTTTTTTGGACTAACATCTGTCTGGATTAGTCATGCCTCTTTGACTCTAACCCAAGTATAAAACTTTCCACTTATCCCTATTAAATCATCTTATTAAAGGAAACCAGCTGAGACCTTTTTGGTTCCTGATTCTTGTCATTCAGAGGGCTGACTACCTTTGGAGCTTCTTGTCATTCCATTCATTCGACTGACAGACGTTTCGGAGAGATTATGACCTTCGAAGATCAAAAAAACCAGTCCCTTCCATTGGCTTGTTATGTTCTGGTGAGACCAGACAAGTACACAGATAAGATAATTTGAAGTGTATACAGTCATTTCAAGAATTGGAGAGAGCTAATTTTGGGAGGAGGGAGCTTTCAGAGAAGGCCTTGGAGAGGAGGCAGCAATTGAACTCTTCATTGGATAAGAGAGCCATGTCTGCTTTGAAGGAAGGAAACAAGCACCTGCTATGTGCCGGGGGCATTGTGCTAAGCCCTTTACAAATATCTCAGTTTGATCCTCACAGCAACCCTGGACATGGGTGCTATCCTCATCCCCCTTTTACAACTGAGGAAAGGTATATTGGCGGGGGTTGGGGTGGGGGAACAGAAATGAGTGACTTGCCCATGAGGTTGGATTTGAACTTCCCTCTTCTGACTCCAGGCACAGATCTCTATCCATTGCGCCACCTAGTGGCCTCTTGACCCACCACACTGATGAGAGAAAAAAAGTTCTACTGCATAGGGCGGATAGATCCCCACAGAGCTCCACCAGAGACATCCATCGAAGCCTCAGAACGACCGTGTCAAGCAGTCCAGAATCCGTTCCTCTCCAGCCTCTGCCTCTGCAGCTGGTCCATAAGAGTCAGTAACCTCCTGGTAAGCTGTCAATGTCACCAGCCGGCACCCCGCCCCGGCAAGCAGCCTGGTCCCAAAGGGAGCTGAAGTTATTCTGGCCTGGCAAGCTATTGATAAAGCTCCGAGGACCTTTGTTTGCGGATGTTCATGGGCCCTGATTCTTTCTCAGAACAGCCCATTCTCCTACAGTCCTTCAAACGCGCTCTTACATCTCTCAACACGGTGTTTGTCAGCTGAGGAGGCGGAGGCTGAGGGACTGGCTCAGGGTATTCCAACTGGAAACGTCTGCGGTGGGCTTCCCGACCCCAAGGTCAGAGCTCAGCCTGCCTCCCTCGGCGTTCTCTCACCACTTTGAAGAACTATCCCAGGACCGGCAGGGAAAGAGGGAGAAGGTTGGTTGGTGAGGGCCGGTATGAACATTGCCAGGGCTTCCTGTGGCTTTCGGGCTGTATTCCCTTCCCTGTGGGGAAAAGGCCACGTGCCTTCTCCAGATTGGGCCAAGGTTTTGGACTCAAAGCACCTCTTCCCGGGACCTCAGGGGATTGTAGTTCAGCTGCGTCTCTGGGTCGGACTCTGGAAAGGCTGCCTCCTGACTCCGGCGCTCTGTCCCGGGACTCACCCACGGTGAGGAGGAGGGGAAAGTTGGTTAGTGCTGCTTTGCATACCCACAAGGCTGTGCGCCACAGCGCGAAGTCTCAGGGGGAGAGCACCCTTCTCCTTGACTGTCCCATCCTTCTCCCTCCAACGCAGGGACGTTTGGGGTATATTTGGTGGGGGGAAGAGTCTTTGTCAGGCCGAGCTGCTCCCCGAGGAGTCCCGGAAGGGAGGGGAAGCTCCCAGGGCAGTATTAGTCGCCGTCAGCTAAAGCTGGGATATTGGTAGTGGGTCGAGCAGGGCGGGAAATTTGAAACAAGCTTAAGTTTCTCTTCAGATCGCATAAATCTTTCGCCTTTTACTAAAGATTTCCGTGGAGAGAAACAGTTTTGGGCTATTAGCCAATTTTTTGAAGCCTCATGAAAATGAGGTTAGCTTTTTGGTTACTAAAAAAAAAGATGATTCTCATTTTCTATGAGTTTTTTAAATTTTTTGAAGCTGGAAAGCTTATGCTATTTCTGATAAACAGTTCTTGGAAGAGACATTTGAACGACTGGCTTGTATTTTGTTGTTGGGTCTGCTTTCTGCAAACTGTCCTGCATTTCTCCCTTGAGTTTTTACTACTCCAGGCTTAACCCTCCCAGTTCCTAAGTCAACTGTTACATAACATACACTCCATTCTTTCTAGGTTCTGGTTATTCTACTCTGGACGTTGTCAAGATGATTCAAGTCTTTAAAGCCAGGTGTCTAGAACTGACCAGGGCAGCCAACAGAAGAATTTTCTTAAGACAATTCAAGTGAAAGTGGTTCAATTTCTTGGTATGGTACTGGCAGGCTGTCTAGGTTTCACAAGCATACACCAGTGAGGTCAGCACAACGGCCCTGCAGACCTTCAGTTTGGTAGTCAGTCTAGTATCTCCCATACTTTCTTTCGGAGCCTCCCCAAACACTGAGCGAGCTCTGGTAATTTGTGCATCAAGCTCATCATCTATGTGGACATCCCTGGAAAGTATATTGCTAAGATAAGTGAACTTATCTACAGCATTAAAAATTCTCCATTTGCTGTGACTAATGGTTTCACATATGGATAGTGTGGTTCTGGTTGCTGGAGAACCTGTGTTTTCTTGGTGTTAATCGTTAGGCCAAAATTAGCCTAAGCAGCAGAGAACTGATACATACTGTATTTCATCTCAGCCTCAGAGGCTTCATTGAGTGCACAATCATCTGTGAACAGAAAATCATGCACCAACTCTCCCTCCACTTTAGCCTTGGCTTATAGCCTTTTCAAGTTAGTCAGTGCAGTAGCTGACTGTTGCAGTTTTTATCCTCCTGAAGGTAACTGACAGTATTGCTGAAAACATCATCCTCAAAAGCATGGGATCAAGCACATAGCCCTGGTTCACTTCACTGGTGATTGGGAAAGTGTAAGAGCATTGTCCATTACCCAGAATCCAGGCAAGCATGCCATCACGAAATTGGCATATGATACTGATGAACTTCTCTGAGAGACCAAATTTTGCCATAATTTTCCACAAGTCCTCATGACTGACAGTATCAAAGGCCTTGGTCAAATTGACGAATGTTGTGTACAACCCTTTGTTCTGTTCCTGGCGTTTCTCCTGGAGTTGTCAGGCAGTAAACACCATATACATCATTCCTTGGCCCTTTCTGAAGCCACACTGGCTCTCAGGTAGATGACCATCATCCAGGTGAAGGATTAGCCTATTAAGCGGCACTCTGGCAAGAATCTTGCCAGCAAAGACTAAGAGAGACCCCACTGTGATTGTCACAGCACAATCTATTTCCTTACCTTTGTGAGATGGACAATGGAGGCATCCTTGATCTCTTGGAGTATAACCACCTCTTGCCATATAACCTAGAAGATTTCAGTCAGTTTTTGTATGAGCAATGGACCCCCTGCCTTGTAAAATTTCTCAACTGAAACAGAATCAGTACCAGGTGCTTTGTCCCAGGAGAGGAGCCTAATGTCATTCAAAACTTCTTTTTCAGTTGGAAGTTTGGCTAGAGAGGGATTGACTTCAACCTGAGGTATATGGTCAATGGCTTCAGCATGGATTGATGAAGGTCTGTTGAGAACACTCTATGGAAGTGTTCAGCCCATCTCTCCAGGATCATGTCCTAATCACTAATCAATGTGGCTCCATCGGCACTGAGTAGTTGAGATGCACCATAGATCTCTGGCCCAAAAATAGCCTTCAGGGCATCATAAAAGTGCTTTGGATTGTTACTATCAGCATAAAACTAAATTTCCCCTGTCTTCTCACTGAGCCAAGAATCCTGCATCTCTCCAAGCTTTGCTTGCACTTTACTTTTGATGGAGTTAAATGCTGCCTTCTTAGAGATGGATGAACTATCGGCTGGTAAGCCCTATAGAGTTTCTGGTTTTTCATTTAGCAGCTTCTGAATTTCCCCATCATTTTCATCCAACCAATCTTGATGTTTGTGAATGTTCTGGGCAGGATGAGTAAATGCATGCTGTCCACCAAATGCCCACTCCTTTTCTGCCCCACTGTTGCCAACCACATGGTGGCTCAGCTTTCCCTCCGAGTTAGCAACGAACTGTTCCTGCTCTAATCTACTGACATTAAGTCTTCTGGTAGTCATCTTGCCTTTGAGCTGCCACTTTTGTTTGCCTCATCCCAGGGCCTCAGTTTTCTCATCTGTGAGATGGGGAGATAGTAGTTCAGTTGCATCTTTAGGTCCCATTCTAAACCGGCTGCCTCCTAACCCAGGAGTGCCCAGGACCCGCCCAAGGTGGGGAGGAGGGGAAAATTGGTTAGTGCTGCTTTGCATATCCACAAGGCTGTTCACCACAGAGAGAGAGAGAGCCCTCCTGGGGAGAGCACTCCTCTCCTTGACTTTCCTATTCTTCTTCCTCCAATGCAGGGATGTTGGGGTATATTTTTTGGGGGGAGAGTGAGTCTTTGTCAGCTGAACTGCTCCCCAAAAAGTCCAAGAAGGGAGGGGCTCCCTTAGTCGCCGTCAGCTAAAGCTGGGGTATTGGTAGCTGGCTGGGTGGGGCAGGAAGTTTGAATCATACTCTGGTTTCTCTTCAAATCGAATAAATCTTTCGCCTTTTACTAAAGATTTCCGTGGAGAGAAACAATTATGGGTTATTAACCAATTTTTTGTGGCCCTGCTTTAGCAGGGCTTACAATTTTGTCAGTAAAAAAAGAAAAATTATAAGCTTTCAAAGCTTGTGTAAGTTGCTAGTGTTTGTGTTGTTTTGTAATTGCTTTCATTTTAAGTGTTGTAGGGTTTCTTGTTTTTGTAAAACAATTTGTGGAGATTCTTCTCAGGCAGCCCCTCCTAAAGCTTTAATGGTGGGAAAGCTTTTCTTGACCTGCAAGCCTCAATTGTCGATCTCTGCATTGCTCTTGGCTCTAACCTCTGATGCCAAGTAGAAGAGTATAAACTGCTTCCCTTCTTTGTGGGGCAACCTGTTAGATCCCTGACTTTTCTGTTCTCCAGGCTGAACCCTCACAGTTCCTTGTCCCAATTGTTATATGGCATTACACCAGTTTATACAAGCATACACCAATGAGGTCAGCACAACGGCTCTGCAGACCTTCAGTTTGGTGGTCAGTCTAATACCTCTTCTCTCCCATACTTTCCTTCGGAGCCTCCCAAACAGTGAGCTAGCTCTGGCACAAACTGTTCGTGCTCTAATCTAGTGACATTAAGCCTTCTGGTAGTCGTGTTGCCTTTGAGCCGTCACTTTTGTTGGATGTGAATATTTAGGTTGGAGAGGATAAGTCTATGATCAGGCCAGCACCTCACAACATCTTCCTCACTCTCACATTCTGTCTGTCTCTTCTCCTTTGTGATAGATGATTAATTAGATCCCTATTTTAATCCAAACAGTATTAATCAGTTTGATGTGATTCCACCAAAGAAGGAGCGATTATAAGTTCTGTATATTAGGCCCCAGAGCTGTGAACTGTAGATTTCAAGTTCATTAGCTTAATCATAGGAAGCTAACTAGCAGACCTCCACCCTTGTTTTTCCTTGTTATGGTGACCAAGCCCAGCATGTGGGAGGTGACTCAATGACATGGAAAGCCCCCCAGCTATTTTTGTTGCCCCTTTCTCCTTCATCATCCTCTATTACCCAACACGGGGAGATGACCATGAGTACTTGGCCAATGAGTGGCCCTGTTTGCTGGCCTGTGCCCTGCCTTTCTGTCAGCTCATGTTTTTATCAGCCTAGCCCATGGGTCTGCTCATTGGCTCAGTAGGGCCTCCTGAAAAGGTCAAGATAGGTGTGTCAAAGTCTGCTCATCAGCTTATTCTTCAACCAGTGGGATTCTAATTTTGTGCAGACCCTCCTGGAGGATCAAGGTCAATAAGGCTCTATATTTTACTTTGATTCTTCTGTATCATCTGGGTATCAAGTGTTATAAAACTAAGGCATCTCAGGTCATGAGGAAGATCTGAGGTCCACTTCATTAAGGGGGACCACGGACCCTTTAATAAAGTGCTATTGGCTCAGAACTCTGCCTCAATTTATCTTATTGTAGATTGGGCAATTTTGGACCCCACACCTTATAATGACATAGTCTATTAAATGGCAATGTTTGCTCCGAGGGTGCATCCATGAAGTTTTATTGCAGTTAGGTAAATGGAAGACACTGTTGATGATGAGAAGATCATGAAATGCACAAGTCCTCTGTAGTAATTGACTGTTGCTGTTTCTGACTCCGTTCCTCCCAAGGACTCCCTGCCATGTCTGCCAGTGTGTGCCTGCTCTTGCATTAAAGTCACCCAGACTTACAAGCTTGTCCTCTTTCAGCACACTGATGATGAGCATCTCCAGGTCTTCATAAAACTTTTCTTTGACTTCATCAGGATTTGTCACGTTGGGAAAGTTCACATTGATGCTGGTGGCATATGCTTTCCCGCAAGTGGCAATTGTATTGCCATGAACCTGTCATTGACTCCTTTTGGTAGGCACACAAGCTTGTTGACTGGATTAGTTTTGATTGCAAAACCTTACCAGCTTCACTGCACTTCACAACGTGTTTCTCTTTCAGGTCTACTGGATTTTGTGTTATCCATAAGTGTGTGCACATTACATGTACCAATGGTGAGTAGAATCATCTTTGCAAAAGTTTTTGTACATTTTTTTGTGTGTGTGTGTGTGTTTCAACCACAAGGTGGGATCTCCACCTGCTGAGGTAAGCAGGCCAGGGTTGGGTGAAGCAGACAATTTTTTTTTTGAATCAACAAACAGAATTTATTGCTTATTGGTGCAGTCTGAGGACGTGTGCAGGAACACCATAGGAATGAAAACCATATTCCTTTCCCTAATGAAATGTAAAGTCTAATGGGAGCAAATAAGACATTTAAAAAATGCATCACCACAATCAAAGAATCAAAGCTTTAAATATAGGGAGGTAGGGGATAAAGTTATGAGACATATCACTCTCTGGGACGCAAGCATGCCTCTTACTCTGAAGTTGTCTATTTGCAGCAGAAATTATCATGGTTTATTAGAATTATTATTAGAATCTTTGGTTCAGATTCATTATAGACAGTCCCATTATAGGATAGTTGTAGAAATAGGGAGGGAGGGAATGGGAAAGGAAGGAAGGGAAGCAGGAAGGCAAGTGAGATCTCTTCATGGAGGAATGGTATAGCGATTGTATATGGTATATAGAGATCTAGTATTCCTCAATGACTGCCTGAGTGTTTCTGTGTTCCCCCAGGTATGTGTCTTTGGGGAAGTTTTCTGCATAGGCTGTGCTATAAGAAGCCTGAGCATCTAGGTACAGAGAACAACACAAATGGTTTGAGCAATGAAAACTCTATTTCCTGGGTGGCAGCTAGGGGGCGCAGTGGATAGAGCTCTGGCCTTGGAGTCAGGAGGACCTGAGTTCAAATCCATCTCAGACACTTGACACTTACTAGCTGTGTGACCCTGGGCAAGTCACTTATAACCCCAATTGCCTCACCAAAAAAAACCCCCAAAAAACCAAAGCAACTCTATTTCCCAAGGGAAGTGGTACATCCTTGATAATATTCTCTCATATATCACAGAGCCCTGAACAAAAGGAACTGAATCATAAAATGTTTGAGCTAAAAGGGGCTTCTGAGGTTACTTAGTCTAGCATTTACCCAAACGTCAACCGAAACTCCATGTTCCACATTCTACAAGTAATGCTTATAAAAGAAAAAACGTCAATGCTAATAGGATTTCCCCTCTAAAATATCAAATATGAAATCATACATGTATAAAAATACCTCTAAAGATTTATTCTGATGATTCATTGTGGCACAGACTTAGAACCTGGGTTCTTAAAAGTAAGACAGTCAAATGGCAAGCTATGCTAGGTCCTACCATACTAGACCGATTTTACAGATGAGGGAAGTGGTTTTTAGAGAGGTAGACTTGCCCAAATTTACCTAACAGGGTAATACCAGAGCAGGGATTAGAACCAAGGCCTGAGTACCATTTGAGTATGTTTGCCTCACTATAGCCATGCTGCCTCTGGCTAGTTAAGTCCCTTCATCTCATTGGTGAGGAAATAAAGGACAAGTGAGGTTGAGTGACTTATCTTGTCACCTATGTACAATAGAAGCTCATACATACAAACGTACATATTTAGTAACTGGGGAAAGACTAGGCTGAATTAGTGAAAACTGTGAATTCTGGAATATTTTTCTAGAAATGCAATTTTATTTCAAGTACAAATAGTACCTCAAATTAAGCTTACAAAACATTGCCTAGTAGATTTTCCTAGGTAATCTGATTTGATAAATAATAATTTGTACTTAGCATATCAATCGTTTATATGTAAATAGTACTTCTAAATTGAAGCAGACAATTTTTAGGGCACATTTTTTAGCCCCTTCCTTGCACCAGGAGGTGAGCAGTGTGGTCCTTAAAAAAGGCTGCTTAAGGCAGACTTCAGAAAAACCTGGAAAGACTTGCATGAACTGATGCTGAGTGGAGTGAGCAGAACCAGGAGAACATTGTACACAGTAATGGTAACAGCCACATTGTGGGATGACTAACTTTGATAGATTTAGCTTTTCTCAGCAATGCAAAGATCTAAGACAATTCCAAAAGACTCAGGACAGAAAATGTGATCTGCATCCAGAGGAAGAATCATGGAGTCTGAATGCAGGTCGAAGCATATCATTTTCATTTTTTTTTGTGGCTTTTCCCTTTTGTTCTGTTTCTTCTTTCACAAAATGACTAGTGTGGAAATAGGTTTCCATGATTGCACATGCATAATCTAGATCAGATTGCTTGCCATCTTGGGGAGGGGAAGGGGAGGGAAGGAGGGAGAAAAAATTTGGAACTCAAAATCTTATTAAAATGAATGTTGAAAACTATCTTTACATGTAATTGGAAAAAATTAACTACTATTTACAAAAAACAAAAAGGCTGCTCAAACGCCCAGGGGGCTGCTTCATCAGCCCAGTAAGAAGACGACCCATGGCCTGAGTCGCCAGTGTGCAGGGTTGTGATGACAGCTCCCAGTGCATCTGCATCTGCTGCTTTGTCACTGGCCTGTCACCACAGGGCTTTGAGGTAGGTAAAAACGGTAAAATGGTATGGGTGATGTCTTTTGATTCGTGCCTAAATTGGATTTAAGTGAGGCAGAGTTGTGGGAATTCATCGGCCTCACTCTTTCTTCCAGAGTCATTGGAGTTCAGTAGCAAGATAAAAGTAAAGATGACTGGTCACGATTTGGGATGCAGTGGATGACCTTGGTCTGAGCACTCCGCAGCTCCTGTTTCAGCCCTCTTCATGGCCCATTGGAACAAACTGTTCACCCCTGCCTATCCCACTGGAGGAAGTCTTCACGTGCTTAGGGCAGGCACTCCCCTAACATCACTGGCAGGTTTCAGTTCTGTCAGTTACCCTCCACCTGGTTTAGCTCATCAGCCAAAACGGTCTACTGAGGTGTGGCCACTGGGTATGCTGTAGCCTCTTGGAGCCATAGGTAAGAGTTGGGTGAATCAGGTGGACACCAAAGGGAGAAAGCAGCTCTTAAAATTGTTTGGCAAGCCCTCACACCAGAAATACTAGTCTTTCCTGAACATACCCTATACCTCATACATGTGTATGTAGATATACCTACATATATCACACATATACACATACACATATGTGTATGTATGTGTATATATAAATGTATGTA